GAAAAACCGAAAAATTGAAGAATCCAAAAATTGAAAAGTAGTAAAACTGAAATAGATATCCGAAAATAGAAAAATCGAAAATACAAAAAAAACGTAAAATGAAATACTGAAAAATTGAGTAATCCAAAAGTTGCAAAATTGTAAAATCAAGGAATTGAAAAATTGATAAATTAAAAAGTCAAAAATCTGAAAAATCGACCAACTGAAGAAAACAAAAATCAGAAATTAAAAAATCCAGAAATGGGAAAACCAAAATATCGAAAAACCGAAAAAATCTAAAAGTCTCGAAAAATCGAAAATTTACAAACCCCAAAAATTAAAATCTTAAAAACTCGAAAAACTTCAAAATCAAAAAATTAAAGAAGAAGAAAAATTGAAAATCGAAAAATCGAAGACACGAAAAATGGATAAATTGAGAAGCTGAAACTTGAAAGTTCGAGAAACCGAAATAAAAAGCTGAAAAACTGAAAATTCGAAAAAATGGGAAAACGAAGAATTAACAGACAAAAAAAACGAAAAATCGAAAAATTTAAAGTTTCAGAAATCAAAAAAATTAAAATATTAAAAGATTGAAGAATCGAAAAATTGAAAAATCCCAAAACTCAAATATTGAAAAACTAATCAATCGACTAATCGAAAAACTGAAAAATCCCAAAACTAAAACATCGAAAAACCGAGATATATAAAATATATAAAATCCAAAAAAATAAAGAATCGAAAATTTGAAAAATCGTAAAACTGAAATACATATTGAAAAATTGAAAATCGAAAAATCGAAGAAACGAAAAATGGATAAATTATTATATATTATTCGCTTACACTCGGGAAGTAAAAATTGGTAATTTTTCTCCAAAAAGTCGAAAATTGAAAAATCTAAAAATTGAAAACTCCAGAAATTAAAAAGTCAAAAAAAATAGGTAATGAAAAATTGAAAACTGAAGAATGGAAATAAAAATTTGAGATATGGAAAAGTAAAAAACTTAAAAAATCTTAAAACTGCAGAATGGAAAAATTGAAAAATCAAAAATGGGATATTTGAAAAATTGAGAAATCGAAAAGGAAACAAATTGAAAATTCGAATATCGAACAGAAACGAAAGTTCCAGAAAATTCTCGCACATCGAGAATTCGGAAAATCGAAAAATCCAAGAATCGAAATATAGAAAAAATGCAATAAAATTTAAAAACCACAAAAACTGAAAAATCGAAAAATCCAAAGGTCAAAAAGTTGGCAAATCGAGAAATAGAAAAATTAAAAATCCATTAATAGAAAAATCGACAGTTTAGATTTAGAAATGCTAAAAATTTAAATATTGAAACACCGAAAAATTCAAGAATCCAAAATTAAAAAAATCGAAAAATCAAAAATTTGAAAAATCCGGAAACTCAAGAACCGAAAAATTGAAAAATCGTAAACATCGAAATCTCGATAAATCAAAAAATTGGAAAAACTGAAAAATCAAAAAATGTAACATTTAGAAAACAGTCGCGAAGTCGAAAAATCGAAAAATCTAAAATTTAAAAACCACAAAAACTGAAAAATCGAAAAATCCAAAGGTCAAAAAGTTGACAAATCGAGAAATAGAAAAATTAAAAATCCATTAATAGAAAAATCGACAGTTTAGATTTAGAAATGCTAAAAATTTAAATATTGAAAAACCGAAAAATTCAAGAATCCAAAAATTAAAAAAATCGAAAAATCAAAAATTTGAAAAATCCGGAAACTCAAGAATCGAAAAATTGAAAAATCGTAAAAATGAAATACTTATCGAAAAACGAGTAATCCAAAAGTTGAAAAATTGCAAAATCAAGGAATTAAAAAATTGATAAATTAAAACGTCAAAAATCTGAAAAATAGACCAAATATGAAGAAAACGAAAATCTGAAAATAAAAAATCGAGAAATGGGAAAACCAAAATATCGAGAAACCGAAAAAATCTAAAAGTCCCGAAGTCGAAAAATCGAAAATTTACAAACCCCAAAAATTAAATTCTTGAAAACTCGAAAAACTTAAAAATCAAAAAATTAAAGATCGAAAATTTGAAAAATCGTAAAATGGAAGAAACGAAAAATGGATAAATTGAGAAGTCGAAACTTGAAAGTTCGAGAAATCGAAACAAAAAGCTGAAAAATTTAAAATTCGAAAAAATGAGAAAACGAAGAATTGAAAAATCAAAAAAAAAAAACGAAAAATCGAAAAATTCAAGAATCCAAAAATTGAAAAGTCGAAAAACTGAAATAGATATCGGAAAATACAGAAATCCAAAATAAAAAAAATCGAAAAATCAAAAATTGAAAAATCCGGAAACTCAAGAATCGAAAAATTGAAAAATCGTAAAAATGAAATACTTATTGAAAAACTGAGTAATCCAAAAGTTAAAAAATTGCAAAATCAAGGAATTGAAAAATTGATAAATTAAAAAGTCAAAAATCTGAAAAATCGACCAACTGAAGAAAACGAAAACCTGAAAATAAAAAATTGAGAAATGGGAAAACCAAAATATCGAGAAACCGAAAAAATCTAAAAATCCCCAAGTCGAAAAATCGAAAATTTACAAACCCCAAAAATTAAAATCTTGAAAACTCGAAAAAGTTAAAAATGAAAAAACTAAAGAATCGAAAATTTGAAAAATCGTAAAACTGAAATACATATTGAAAAATTGAGAAATAGAAAAATTGAAAATCGGAAAACCGAAGAAACGACAAATGGATAAATTGAGAAGTCGAAACTTGAAAGTTCGAGAAACCGAAACAAAAGCTGAAAAATTAAAAATCGTAAACATCCAAGTCTCCATAAATCAAAAAATTGGGAAAACTGAGAAATCAAAAAATGGAAAATTTAGAAAACAGTCGCGAAGTCGAAAAATCGAGAAATCGAAAAATCTAAAATTCAAAAACCACAAAAACTGAAAAATCGAAAAATCCAAAGGTCAAAAAGTTGACAAATCGAGAAATAGAAAAATCAAAAATCCAATAGAAAAATCGACAGTTTAGATTTAGAAACGCTAAAAATTTAAATATTAAAAAACCGAAAAATTCAAGAATCCAAAAATAAAAAAAATCGAAAAATCAAAAATTTGAAAAATCCGGAAACTCAAAAATCGAAAAATTGAAAAATCGTAAAAATGAAATACATACTTATTGACAAACTGAGTAATCCAAAAGTTGAAAAATTGCAAAATCAAGGGATTGAAAAATTGATAAATTAAAAAGTCAAAAAATCGAAAATTTACAAACCCCAAAAATTAAAATCTTGAAAACTCAAAAAACTTAAAAATCAAAAATTAAAGAATCGAAAATTTGAAAAATCGTAAAACTGAAATACGCATTGAAAAATTGAGAAATAGAAAAATTGAAAATCGGAAAATCGAAGAAACGAAAAACGGACTAAATTGGGAAGTCGAAACTTAAAAGTTCGAGAAATCGAAACAAAAAGCTGAAAAATTGAAAATTCGAAAAAATGACAAAACAAAGAATTGAAAAATAAAAAAAAACGGAAAATCGAAAAATTTAAAGTTTCAGAAATCAAAAAAAAAAAAGAAAATATTACAAGATTGAAGAATCGAAAAATTGAAAAATCCCAAAACTAAAACATCGAAAAACCGAGATATATAAAATACATAAAATCTAAAAAAATAAAATCGGAAACGGGAAAATCAAAATATGGAATAATTGACAAATCCAAAGGTCAAAGTCGAAAAACATCTAAAAATTAAAAAATCAAAAATTGAAGAATCCAAGAAAAATTGAAAAATCCCAAAACTGGAACATCGAAAAGTATAAAAATCGAGAAACCAAAAATTTGAAATATTGAGAAATTGAAGAGTCGAAAAATTTGAAATTCAAGAAACTAAAAAATTCCAAAAATTGAAAATCGGAAAATCGAAGAAACGAAAAATGGATAAATTGAGAAGTCGAAACTTAAAAGTTCGAGAAATCGAAACAAAAAGCTGAAAAACTGAAAAATCGAAAAAATGAGAAAACGAACAATTGAAAAATCAAAAAAAAAAAAACCAAAAATCGAAAAATTGAAAAATCCCAAAATTAAAACATCGAAAAACCGAGATATATAAAATATGTATATAAAATCTAAAAAATAAAATCGGAAACGGGAAAATCAAAATATGGAATAATTGAAAAATCCCAAAACTGAAACATCGAAAAATATAAAAATCGAGAAACCAAAAATTTGAAATATTGAGAAATTGAAGAGTCGAAAAATTTGAAATTCAAGAAACTAAAAAATTCCAAAAATTGAAGGTTGGAAAATCCATCGAAAAACTGACAAATTGAGAATACGAAAAGTTCAGGATTATGTTACTGTTTAACATTTAAGTAACATTTACTAATGTAAATTTTTCAAATGAAGGAATCCTTTTATTGCTTTAGCTTACGCTCGGGAAGTAAAGACTCCCAGAAAGGAACACAAAAAAGGAAGCGAAAGGCAAATGGGAAAAAAAGATATAGAAAAAGACAGAGGAGGAGAAAGACAAGCAAGGAAATACAGAGGAGAAGAGCTACAGAAAAGCAAAAATATATACAGTAGGAAAAGACAGAAATAAATAGAATGGGCAAGTAGAGGGAATGGGGAGAAAATGGCTGTTTGCTCGTGGCGTTTCACTGTAAAAACGTCATTTTTCTCTGGGACAATTTCCCGGCCATAAATTAAATTTACTTCTGGCTCGTCTGCGGCCTCGCGCCGCGCCCCCTAATCAACGAGCCAACTTCTCCAACTCCCAAGGTCTGTAAATTAACCTCCAATCTCTTCACTTTTCAATTAGGTTATCGTGCGATTATCAATGGGAAACCGTAATTTACCCGGTTGCATCAAAATTGGAAACTCGAAATTATGTTAATTGGCTCTTAAACGATTAAGTTCGGGCCTGTAACAAAGTTTGCGATTCAATAACCGCCTTCGCAACTACCAAGTTCGCCGTAAATTGGCGGAATGAATAAAGTGTCGGCGTCGACATTTCTAAAAATACGCTTTCACTTACTTACCATGCCAAACTTCTCTATCGAACCAAGTGAGATTATCCGCTTGAGTGTCGTAATAGCCCAGTACAACGTAGTTACCATTTATTATTTGCTCGATCTGGGTGAGGGCGATCCGATCTCCCTGGGAACTGAAAGCTACGTAACCCTGCGAACAATAAATCCGGTTGGTGTTTCGGAAATCGACAAAGTTTTTGCGGATTATTACGAGTGCATGATTTAGGAAGGCGGCGCCGGGAGTTCGGTAAATAATGGGGGTTCATATCGGCGGGCGAGGATTAGCCCGTATTTCGGACGGACCGCGCGTACAGGTATCCAAAAATGGCGCAGTCACTAGCACATCCTCGTCCCATAATTCCAATTTGTACCGGGAATAAATTCGCCTCTCTACTCCCTTTAATTAAACAATCTCTTCGACCTTTCCAATTTGCCCCTCTCAGGTACGGCACGCTCGGGTAAACTTAACCCCACTCGTCACACACTATTACCAACCTAAGAGATTCCGAGTCCCCGAAGTGCGTTCGATTCTTCGGAATTAAATAAAACGGACAAATCTGTTTGCGTTGTACAAAAAAAGGCGGCGACAAATCCACAAAACGTGCCCCGGAACAAATAAATCAACAAAAATCCGGGCGATTTGTATTGTTTGCGGAATCGCGGAATCGCTCAAAGAGACGTGTTTATGCGGGAATATGGACGGATCTCGATGAAATTAGTCGCGTGTGGACGAAATTACGCCGAAAATCGAACGATAAATAAACAAAGTATTTCGCATTCGGAGATTTCTTCGGCTCGCTTTTATTTCATGACTCTAATCTGAAAGCGTCTGAAACGTAAGCACTCATCTCTTATCGGACGCTTTGTGAATTCTTTATTGTTTTATTAGGAACGAAAGCGTTGCATTATTGCATCAAACGAACTCGAAACGCCGGCAGAATTCTCGCTCACAGCTTTTAAAACTCACCGATATTCCTAAGAATTGAGTGGAGTTGATGGCCGAATAAATGTCGTCGGCGATTTCCTTATTGTTGTAATTAAACTCCTTCAGGCTCTTCCCGTACTTGTGGAGGCGGTCCATCGTCTTGTTGAAAGCTGCGAACAAAAAATTACCAGATAACTCGGGCATCGATCAAAATCGGGATCTCCCACAGTACCTAGAGCGACGGACCAGACAGCATCGTAGGCCAGAGGCGCTTCCTGATATCCTTCGGGGAAACGCTGGTTATCGATCTTGTACCCTTCTTTCCGCAAAACTTGATTCAGCCGCAGCCGGAAGTCCTCCGAGGTCATTCCAGAGATGGTGCGTTCGTTAAGGTTCTGATTCCACATGAGGGCTTCCGTCGTGAGATGGCCTTCGGCGGCCTCCTTCATCTCGTCGACCGAACACTCGATGTCCTCCTCCTCCAGGTTCACCTCGAACCAGTTGTCCTCGTACCAGCCTGCGGACAAACGGGGTTTAGTCCGGATTGGGACCGAGGGGTTATCGACTGCATTATTCAGGAGAAAAGAAAACGGAACGATTTCGAGGAAGGGTTGCGAGGCTTTTAAAGAGCGACAACTTTCGCAAACACGGAACTTCGAGGGGGTGGTCATAAAATAATATAAACTAACTTAGAAATTAGGTCGCAACTAGTTTGGAAAGTGGATATTCCTATGGATTGAATTAAATTTCAAACTCGTAATAATAGCACGCATACAACTCGATTTTTTCAGGTCATGTCGGGTCAGGTCAGGTCAGGTATAAATAATTATGTAACAAATTAATGTAAGGATTTTTAATATTTCAGATTTGATCATTTAGGAATAAATAAAATAGGCGAAATGATGAGATTAGGGTAGAAGACGGGAGTAACAGTGTGAGAGAGAGAGAAGATGACTGAGAGAGGCAGATAGCAACTGAGGGGGTAAGAGAGATCGAGAAAGGAGCAACAGCAAGGGAAGACAGAGCGAGGGAGAGATAGATAGAAAGAGGAGCCAGAAAGAAGGGTAACAATGAGGGGGTCAAGAGTGAAGAGCAACAGGGAAGGGCAAGAAAGAGAGTGGGCAACAGCAAGAAGTAAAGGAGGGGGTAATAACGAGGTAAGAGAGAGAAAGTGTGTGTGAAAGAGCCAACAGCGAGGGGCGACACACATATAGAGCCAGGGATAAGAGAAACAGAGAGGGGGAGCAGTGAGCGAGGGTAAGAACACACACACACACACACAGAGAGAGAGAGAGAGAGAGAGAGAGAGAGAGAGAAGAGAGAAGAGAGCAAGAGAGAGAGGGAAGGAAGAGAGGGGGCAAGAAACAGAGACAAGAATGAGTCCCGGAAGAATGAGGGGCTAGAAAGAGAGAGGGCAACAGGAACAGGCACGAGAAACAGAGGTGGTAACAGCGAAAGGCGCGAGAGAGGAAACAAAGGGGTAAGAGTGTGAGAAGCAAGAATGAGAGGGGTAGGAAGAGTCAGACCGAAACAGCGAAAAGTAAGAGAAAGGAGCAACAGCGATGGACTCGAGAGACAGAGGGGTTAATTAACAGGGAGAGGCAACACAGAAGTGCGAAAAAAGAGAGAAAAAAGGGCAAAAGAGATAAAGAGCCAAGAAAAAATGAGCGAGAAGGGCAAGAGCAAGAGTTAGGAGCAAAAAAGAGAAACGAAGTACAAGAAGCAGGAGTGAGAGGAGATCGAAAGAGGGACGGGCGAAAGAGTAAGAGGCAAGAATGAGAGAAGGTTAAAGAGAGAATCTACACACAAAAATAGGTGGGATGATGAGATTGGGTGATTGGGGTAGGAGAGGGGGATAACAGTGCGAGTGAGAGAGAGAAAGTGAGGGGCAAAAGAGACCGAGTGGATCACAGCGAGCAGCAAGAAAAAGAAGCAACAGCAAGGGAAGACAGAGAGTGAGAAAGAGAGCAACCACGAGGAGCGAGAGATAGAGAGAGAGAGGGACAAGAAAAAGAGAGGCAAGATTGAGAGACGAACGCCAAGAAAGAATTGAGAGGGATAGCTAAAGTGGGGCAACAATGAAAGGTTCAAAAGTAAGGGGCAATAGGAGAGCGTGGGGAACAGCTAGAGGTAAGAGAGAGGCGTAATAACGCGGGCCAAAGAGAGAGGGGTAATAACGAGGGGTGAAAGAAAGGGAGAGTGAAAGAGAGAAAAGAGGGAGGCAATAGCGAGGGGCGACAGAGGAGTAAGAAAAACAGAGAGGTGGAGAAATGAGAGAGGGTAAGAGAACACAAACAGAAAGAAGGAGAGAGAAAGAAGGGACCAAGAGAAAGAGGGAAGGGAGAGAGTGCAGCAAGAGATAGAGAGAGAGAGAAGATGACTTTCCATTTTATAATTTTTCCTTTGCAATCTATGACTTTTCAATTCCTCCACTTTCCAGTTTTTTAATTTTCAATATTTTGGTTTTGCAGTTTTTCGATTTTTAAGTTTTCCAATTTTAATCTTTCGATTTTTTTTCATTTTATACTTTTTCGTTTTTTCATTTTTAATATTTCAATTTTACAATTTGTCCATTTTTTTTAATTCGAAAAACCAAAAAATCGGAAAAATTGAAAAAAGGAAAAAAAATTGAAACACTGAGAAACTTAAAAATCGAAAAATATTAATGCATCAAAAAATTGGAAAGAAAAAAAAACGGATCTAATCTTCAAAATTGCGAAGATCGAAAAATTGGAAAATTAAATATCGAGAAATTGAAAAATTAAAAATTGAATAATCGAATACATGAAAAACTTCTAAAATAACTGAAAATTGGAAAAATTCTAAGATCGTAGAAATGAAAAAGAGAATCATTTTAAAATTTATAATCACTACATATTATAAAACAAAGTCGCTTTCCGCGGAAGGAAAGAAAAAAAAAATCTAAACGAAAAATTGCAAATCGAAAATTTGAAGATATGGAAAATTGAGGAACCGAAAATTTGAAAAATCAATGAAAGAGTTCTAAAATACAATAATTGAAAAATGGAAAAATTCAAAAACCGGAAAATTGAAAAAGTGAAATATTTAAAAAATTATTATTCTCATTTAAAATGAAAACTAGAAAAAAATCAAATCAAAAACTGAAGAAACGAAAAATTGAAAAATCATGAAACTGAAAAATGTAAAACTGAAAAATCGGGAAATTTTATTTAATTGAAGAAACGCAAACTTGAGAAATTTCACATTGAAAAATAAAAAACGAAAAATTATAAAATTAGAACATAGAAAAATTGTAAAAATAAAGCAAATAAAAAACCGAACCGAAAAATAGCCAAAGAGAGAGAAAGTGTGTGTGATAGGGGCAACAGCGTGGAGCGACACATATGTAGAGACAGGGGCAAGAGAAGCAGAGAGAGAGAGGAGAGAGAGAGAGAGAGAGAGAGAGAGAGAGAGAGAGATTTAATCGAGGAAAAAGAGAGTGGAACAAATATAGGAAAACAAGCAGGAGGAGAAAGACAGAATAAGAGAAAAAGCAAAGAGGAGAAACAAACGGAATGTCACGAAATGATCAGTCTTTCTGAAATAAGTTATTTCACATAGAAATTTCTGAAGAATTCTCGAAAAAAATATTTTAATAATAAATTCTTATCCAGGTCTATCTCATTTTTGCCACATTTCCTAAAATAAACTACAACAACTTCCTGCTAAGATGTAGAATCGTCTTTAATTGACAAAGATAAACACCTTTTCTTTAACAAAACAGGACCCACTTTACTTTAATAACAAAAATCCTCGTGTACGTATTGGCAACACTGTACCTAACGCGTGAATACCTGAGACTTATTACTTTCTTATTTGCTAGTAACGATGGTGACTGAAATCCACCGCTATAACCTGCTAAGATAAGACCGATTTTGGCAGATGAGATGCCTCGAAAAAAAGAGAGGGTGGGTGGGCGGGGCTAATAGCTGCTCGGATAAGACTGATATTGGCTAATGAAATACTCTCTAAGATAAAACTAATTTTGGCAAATGAGATAACCCCTAAGAAAAAAGAGGTGGGTGGGCGGGGCTAGTATCTACTAAAACCAGTTTTACCTTAGCAGCTAGCAGCCCTCCCACTCCACCCACCCTCTCTTTTCTTACAACGTACTGTGTTGACCAGATTTCAATTAAAATTTCGCGCTGAAAAAAATTCAACTATGAAAATCGTTAAACGTAGGCAACCATGTGCACGTTTACTTCTTTCTGGTAGTGGGTAGTTCTGCTAGGGAATTTTAGGTAGAAGATGCTCGCTTTGTAGGGGGAGGCAAGACACGTCATTTTTGGTGTGTTTGTTGTGAATGCAGTATGCGGTAAGGAAGCTAGGTTAAGTTTAGTTGGTTTGGTAGTTAATAAAAGAGAGGAAGCCTTTGTTTAACGACAATTAATCGAACCACAGTTTTCCCTAACACCCGTATCTAATTCTTGCGGTTTTTCCAAGCGAAAATGAATTAATTTTCAACAGTTCATGTTAGGATTTTAATTGTTAACTGGTTCTAATACAATTTAATAGTCGGGAGATTATCAAGAGGATTTCTCCCTTTAGGCAGTTATTATCATCATATCTTCACATCATCGAGATATTTTTCTCGCAACGTCGGATACATTTTGTGTTGTTTATTTATCATGTGTTTTGTTTGCAATATGTTGGGGATAGTCCACGAAATAAACTCTCATAGGTTTTAAGTAACCAATCACTTGGATCAAAGCATCATTTAGCATAATGTAAATTCTTTGTTTGAATCATTGATAAAGTGTGGCATAATTATTTAACATAATGTAAATTCTTTGTTTGAATCGTTGATAAAGTGTGGCATAATTTAACATCAGGTAAATTCTTTGTTCTAGCAGCGGCCATGTTGAAGGCGTATTTTCAAACCGAGCACATGTTTGAACTGTAAAATTTTATTGAACAAATTAACAACATTGTGGGTCATGTAGGACGTACTTTTTATTCCTTTGAATTAGACCATTATTTGCATAACGCCACAGGATTGATCGCATTGACGCATATTTTTTTGGAACGACGCATTCGTCCGACGCCGGTTTGGACCTCTAGATTCTCTGCTATATAATATATTGTTGATTAATGCTTTCATCGTATAAATTGTCTGATGTCCAATCTTAATCTCAGATATGAATTCTTTGCTGTTTAAAAATTTCACGAGAGTGTATGCCGAATTTAAATGTCGTTTATTACTCTTTTGAAACTTTAACACTTGTTGATTGTAGTTTAATATCAGAGGTATATACTGGAAATTGAACATTGATGGAATTGAGGTAAATAACACACTAACACGTGGCGGAAGCGGAGTGCGCGGTTCCTTGGCGAGCTGTCAGATTTAAAATAGAAGTCAGAGGAACGGTCGGGATAACGTGACCCTGTCAACTTAATTATAGCCGTGATTTCTAACCACGAGTTTGCGTTCGTAACGGCCTGTTAGCGAGGCACGTTTCTTCGTTAGACAGAGGGGTGCGGAGCGGCATGTGCTTGCCGATAGGATACCGTCGTGGGTAGGAGAACAGCCACGACCAGGAGCCCCAAACTCCGCTCCTGCTACAACGCCCCCTATGGGTATTTGCTCTGCTCTATATTCAAATATTTGCATTAATTCAAAACGTTTAATTTGATTTCATTCAAAATTTGGAAAGTTTTTTTTTGTAGCTGAGCACTATGAAGGATCTTCAACCTGCGTAACTTAGAGGTATAAATAATTTTGTGTCCCCCATATATTTTGTGTTTTATTTTGCGGCACTTTTCCAACCTTGGGCATTCCAACACAAACAAAAAACAAACAGGGCGTAGGGTTCCATTTTATCAGCCACTTTTCACATGTCAATTTAAGGCGGGATGTTTGAGTTATCACAGTATCTCATCTGCCAAAATCATTCTTATCTTAACAGGTACTAGCCCCGCCCACCCACCCTCTCTTTTCTTAGAGGGTATATCATCTGCCAAAATTACTCTTATCTTAACAAGTACTAGCCCCACCCACCCACCCTCTCTTTTGTTAGAGGGTATCTCATCTGCCAAAATCAGTCTTATCTTGACAGCTACCAGCCCCGCCCATCCACCCTCTCTTTTTTTATAAAAAAAGCAATAAAATCTTCAACGTCAAAATTGGCCTGTTTGCTTAAAAACACGATAAAGTGCCTTAAAATAGATGAAAAACAGTCAATAAAAGCTTAAATAAATGAAAAAAGAAAATGTGGGATGAAACGTTTGCCAAAATCAGTCTTATCTGAGCAAGTGCGATTTTGTTTCTCGATCGAAAAAAACTCGATAGCGATAAAATCTCGTTTGCTGATTGGTTGAGAGGCTGAGTTGGTAAGACATTTCTGTCACATTTCTCGATTCTGTCACGAAATCAAGTCTTCATGGAGTGATATTTTCTCGATAGCTCTGAATGAAGTGATAAATTTTTGAGACATAACCTCGAAATTTATGTCAAAATAGAAGTTCAAAATCGTAATTCTGAGTTATAAGTTCTTAAAATTAAGGTAATTGTAAACTTTTGAGCATTTAATAAGCTTATATGCAAAGAATAAATGCAACTTTGCATTTAAAAGCTACGCAATGATATTTATCGCAAGTGATAATTTATCACTTCGATCAAGAAACAAAATCCCACCCCAATGACGAATAATATTTATTATCATCGTTGTATCAAGCGTATGTTTTCCCAGTTTCGGAATATCGACATGCAACAATTCAGCGTAAAGGCCTCGCCACATAGGCTGTGCTATGCTATGTTAATGAAAAACATAGAAGTAGACACAATACATTTAAATGAGAGTGTTCACATAGCCATTATGTTATGCTTTATGTACTTTTTACACAGAACTAGCATAGACATTACACAGTTCGAAATAATCCGACATAGCATGAAAGTAGAATGGAATCCTACTTCTGTGTAATGTTTGGTTGTTGGCTCATGCGCGTCTAGAGAAAATTCAAAATTCTAACCTAAGCCTTCTCAATTTTCTTCTTTTATAAGTTGTATTTCTATATTGCACTGCATATTGCACATAATAATAATAAAGTTTAAGTAATTCGATCAGGTTCTCTTCGTGAATTTTTTTATTTAAGATTGTCAGCTACACCAACAAGTTTCAAAATGAACGACCACTTTTACTCACCACTGCTTTTACTAATAACTATTTATAAACACACATCTACTATGCTATGCTACCAATTGCTACTATTCTATGGCATGGCTGTTGTGAACACCATCTGTGACTGTATGTCATGTTCATGCTATGTGAATGTATTTTTTACATAGCATAGACATAACGTTTTAATATGAGCATAGCATAGCACAGCCTATGTGGCAAGGCCTTAAGTGTTTCGAGTGACTATCGACGACAAACATCCACAACGCAAACCAAAACACTCTCGATGCCACGCAACTATTATCCAAATTGAAGCACTTCCCCCAACAATTTTTATTATCCGAGTCGAAGCAACTCCACTAAAACCAAAAGAAATGGATTATTTTTTTCACTTCCTCTTTCCTCCTTTCGAATTGGCTTCGTTTCCGCGAAAGTAATTTTTACATAAATTCTCGGCATTATTTCGCGCTGATTTTAATACCCATCCGGAACGAATGTCTTTCCATACGTGGGCGTTATAAAATTTAATTAAGAGAAAGGGTAAGTAAGGTAGTGCTGATTTTATCAATAGCGCGGACCCGAGCAGGGCATAAATTATTAAGTGTGTCATATTTAACCGGGGCCCGGGATCGTAAATTTCGCCGTTTAACGTCCGCAATTTATCGAAAAAATGTAATGTATTATTCGGTGCAAACGCGGAATGAATTTCCATCAAACATTTGCGTTATTCTAGATGCGGTTTCTGGGATTAGCTGCACCGTTGTTAAATTCGGCGGTCATTTCGGGCGCGTTTAGCTCGCTAATAGAAAATTAAAGCGTCTCGCTTCCGTCACGTTTAACCGACGTGCCTATTCGCCGGCCTCAAAAGCCCCTAGTTTTTCTATCTAGAGTAAACACTTTTCAATTTAGCTTCAATCTGGGCCTGGATTTCCAATTTTGTCAGTTCGGAAATGGTGTTTATGTTGACGTGAAGTTCGATCACTGTGATTTAATAATAGTGGATGTATTTACATAGCGAGAATGTCAGGTATTTGCGAAAAGTCGGGAGATCGAAGCTGACGACGCGCCAAACTCTTGCTCTATATTTACTCGCGATTTTTCACCACCAACTAGACACCGCATTAAATCATTTATCCCTCTTTTCTGTGTAAATTTTCCGCCTCTTCGACACGCAAGCGTTTAGATTAGAGATACCTGATCCAATTTTTCTTGCCGAATCGTGTGTGTAACGACTTAGACTATCTGATAGTAATAGCAATTTCTTACACCTATCCGACGAAAAAGTAGAGCCGGCGAAAACGATTTATTTAAGGAGGGTCGCTGACGAGGGGATCGTTTATCGTACGCGGGGTGCACGCGCCGAATTTTAAATTATTAGCTCGATTTTCGTCATCTAGGAGACATTCTAACAAGCGTTTATTTCAAGAGTAGCTTTTACATAAGGTTAGTCTAATCGATCTTCTTAAAATCAAGCCATAATCCCCCAATGGGGGTCATGAGGATGTTTGTCGGGTCAAACTTCAAAGGCAACTGCGTCTTCTTGTTGACCGTCATTTCGTAGTTCTTGACGATGTAGCTCACCCCGACCTTGACTTGCAAGACACCGAAACGCTGCCCTAAAAATCAAAGTCAAAACAATTCGTTTTATTTTGAGTTAATTAGTTTGAGTTATTATATCTTTAATTATCTCGTTCTGTGGGATTTTCTTCTAGCGAATTCATAAGTAAATTTATTCGTTTATCCCCCCCCAATTAATTTTGCTAAATAAATTCTTTTAACTTATAAAGGTTGGCATTAAAAAAATAAAATTTGTAAAATCAGATCTTATAATGTTTTGAAAAATCTGGATTTATTTACCTTCGACCAATTTCTTGATATTTCGATTTTTGATTTTTCGATTTTTCAATTTTTCGTTGCCTAAAATTTTGAAGTTCTTGATTTTTATTTTTCATTTCCTTTATGTTTTCGATGTTTCTTTCGATTGTATCATTTTTTCTTTATCAATTTATCAAACTTGCAATCTATGACTTTTCAATTCCTCCATTTTCCAGTTTTTAAATTTTCAATATTTTGGTTTTGCAATTTTTCGATTTTTAAGTTTTTCAATTTTAATCTTTCGATTTTTTTTCATTTTATAGTTTTTCGTTTTTTCATTTTTGATTTTTCAATTTTACAATTTTTCAATTTAAAAAAACGAAAAAAACCTGAAAAAATGAAAAATTGAAACATTGAAAAACTAAGAATCGAGAAACTTAAAAATCGAAAAATAATAATGAAACAAAAAATTGGAAAATTAAGTATCCAGAAATTGAAAAATTAAAAAATCGAATAGGTACATGAAAAACTTGTAAAATAACTGAAAAATGGAAAAATTCTAAGATCGTAGAATTGAAAAAGCGACTAATTTTAAAAATTATAATGATTAATACACATTTAAAATGAAAACTTACTAGAAAAATTTCATATTAAAAATTGAAGAAACAAAAAACTGAAAAATCGAGAAACTGAAAAATGAAAAATTAAAAAATCTAACTTTGAAAATAAACAACTGAAAACCTAAACATTGAATATCTCAAAAATTGAAAAGTGAAGAAAATAAAAAACCGAAACGAAAAATTGAAAAAATGAAAAACTAAAAAATCTAAAAATTGAAAAAACGAAAACTTGAAAAAACAAAAAATGATAAAATCGGAACATTGAAAAACCGGAAAATTGTAGAAAAAAAAGAAAACAAAAATCGAAACGAGAAATTGCAAATCGAAAATTTGAAGAAACGAAAAATTGCAAATCGAAAAATTGAAAAATCCAAAACTGAAAAATTTCACATTGAAAAAACGAAAAATTATAAAATTAGAACATAGAAAAATTGAAAAATTGTAAAAATAATGCAAATAAAAAATCCAAAATTTAAAGATCGAAAATTTGAAGAAATGAAAAATTGAAAAGTCTCATTACTGAAAAAGTTTTAAAATCCAATAATTGAAAAATCGGAAAGTTGTGAAATTGAAAATGGGAACATTTTAAAAACTATCATTAGAAACTAGAAAGAAAAAAATAAAGAAAATAAAAAACTGAACCGAAAAAATGCAAATCGAAAACTGAAAAATCAAAAATTGAAATTTTGCAAAATCGAAAAATTGAAGAAAAGAGAAACTGAAAAATTAAAATTGGAAAACAAAATATTATAAAATCAAAACATTGAAAAATCGAACAACTGAAAAAACAAAAGATAAAAAACTGAATCGAAAAATTGAAATATTGAAAAATTAAAAACCGAGAAACTTAAAAACTGAAAAAAAAGAATCTTCAAAATTGGAAAGAAGAAAAAACGGATCGAATCTAAAAATAGAAAAATTGAAATATCGAATACATGAAAAAGTTTTAAAATCCAATAATTGAAAAATGGAAAAATTAAAAAATCGTAAAATCGAAAAAGTAAAAAATTTTAAACGTTATAATGATTAATATATATTTAAAATGAAAACTTACTACAAAAATTGCATGTTAAAAATTGAAGAAACGAAAAATTGAATAATTCAGAAACTGAAAAATGTAAAATTGAAAAAATGAAAAATGAAAAAATCCTAATTTGGAAATAAAAACTGAAAATTAAAAACTGAACATTTCAAAACTTGAAAAATGAAGAAAATAAAAATCCTTAACGAAAAATTGCAATTACTCAAAAACTGAAAAAATTAAAAACTAAAAAATTGAAAAATTGACAAATTAAAAATTGAAAGCTCGTGAGATTATCAATCTCAAAAAAAACTGAAAAAAAAACTGATATTGAAAAAACAAAAAATCATGAAAATTGCAAATTGAAAATTTGAAGATACGGAAAATTCAAGAATAGAAAATTTGAAAAGGCAAATAAATGAAAAAGATTTAAAAAACAATAACTGAAAAATGGAAAAACTCTAAAATCGTAAAATTGAAAAAGTGAAGTATTTTAAAAAATATTATTACATATTTATAATGAAAACTGGAAAATTTTCAGGTCAAAAACTGAAGAAACGAAAAATTGAAAAATAATGAAACAGAGAAGTCTAAAATTGAAAAATCGAGAAGTTTTAAATCGAAATTCGAAAAACCTAAAAATTAGAGAAACAAAAAAAATTAACAACTGAAAAATCGCAAAACGAAAAATTGAAAAATCCAAAACTGAAAAATTTCCTATTGAAAAAACAAAAAGTTATAAAATGGAAACATTGGAATCTGAAAAACTGCAAATCGAAAAATTGAAAAATCCAAAACTGAAAGATTTCATATCGAAAAAATAAAAAAATATAAAATTAGAATATAGAAAAATTGAAGAGCCGAAGAATTGAAAAGTCGAATAACTGAAAAAGTTTTAAAATCCAATAAATTGAAAAATGAAAAAATATTAAAATCGTAAAATAGAAAATGGAAATACTTAAAAATTATTATTAGAAAATGGAAAAAAATAAAGAAAATAAAAAAGCGAAACGAAAAATTGCAAATCGAAAAACTGAAAAATCAAAAATTGAAAACTCCAGAAATTTTAAATCGAAATTTGCAGAATATAAACATTGAAAAAAAAACGATAAAATGAAAAAATCAAAATTGAAAAAACAAAAAGTTATAAAATGACAACATTGGAATCCGAAAAATTGTAAATCGAAAAATTGAAAAATTTCACATTGAAAAAACGAAAAATTATACAATTAAAAAAAACATCGAAAAATTGCAAATCGAAAATTTTAAGAAATAAAAAATTGAAGAGTTGAAAAATTGAAAAGTCGAATAACTGAAAAAGTTTTAAAATCCAATAAATTGAAAAATGGAAAATATTAAAATCGTAAAATTGAAAATGGGAATAGTTTAAAAATTATTATTAGAAACTAGAAAAAACAAAGAAAACAAAAAACCGAAACGAAAAATTGCAAATCGAAAAACTGAAGAATCGAAAAAATGAAAACTCGAGAAATTTTAAACCGAAATTTGCAAAATCTAAAATTAAAAATTGAAAATAAAATATGGAAATCTAAAATTGCAAGTCGAAAATTTGAAGACATTGAAAATTTAAAAAGTCGAATAATAAATTTTAAAATGCAATAATTGAAAAATGGAAAAAATCTAAAATCGTAAAATTGAAAAAGTGAAATATTTAAAAAAATATTATTATTACATATTTAAAATGAAAACTGGAAAAATTGCAAATTAAAAACTAAAGAAACGAAAAGTTGAAAATAAATGAAAAAGTTTTAAATCCAATAAATGAAAAAAAATTAAAAATTATTATTATTAGAAACTCGAAAAAAGAAAATAAAAAACCGAAACGAAAACTTGCAAATCGAAAAACTGAAAAATCTAAAATTGAGAACTCCAGAAATTTTAAATCAAAATTTGCAAAATCTAGAAATTGAAGAAACAAAAAAATGAAAAAAAGCGGAATATCTTGAACTACACTTCACGAACGAGATAAGTTCTGTTAAAATAACTTTCGACCGATTTTTTACCTAGGCAAGCCCTTGGTCCTTCTCCGAAAGGTATAAAAGTGCACTTTTTGATCTTATCCCTATTCGCTCCCACAAATCTCTCCGGTTTGAAGACCTCAGGCTCCTCGAAATGCTCCGGATCTGAATGCAACGCATAAATGGGCAACGCGATGGGGGTACCCTTTTCGACAACTAGCGGCTTATTCGTTTCCTTGATGGTAAAAGTGAAATCTTCGGTACAGACTTTCTGCAAGGCGTAAATCGGTGGGAGACTTCTCAAGGTTTCTAAAACGCGACTTTAGGTTAGGTTTAGGTGGGGTTGTGGCGTACCGTTGATGACGGCATCTAGGTATGGCAACGATTGAAGAATCTCATATGGTAATTTATTATCATTTCCGTGGAAAGCCGCCGTCACCTCCTGTCTTAGTTTCGCTTGAGCTTCAACATTCGCAGCTAGCTGGAAGAGGGTGAAACTCATCACTATCGCACTGGTTTCGTACCCATCACCGAAGAACCCAGCGGCATGGGCTGTCACATCCAGGTCCGTAAACTCGTAGTCTTTGCAAGTCGTCTTCAACTGACTAATAATGTGAAGAAAATCGTTTCGTACGATATTATTACGTTCGCGATGTCTCAAAGCCTGAGTCACTATATCAGTTAGCTTTTCTTCAACCTTCTTCGGAACGAACCTAAAACTCACCATTGTACCAAACCCACCTCTCCGAAAACCTACCGGATTGGAAGAATCCGAGCGAAGCGAAAAACTATCGTTACGAATAAAGCCAAAACGGCCCATCCTCCCGGTGACAAAAAATCTTTAGCGAGTTGTCTAAATTCGCTATTCTCTTCCTCGAAACATTTGGCTTCGACCCCGAAAACCGAATCCCCGACGTTGTTTAAAGTAAACCTGGTACACAACTCTTTCGCTTCGTAGCCTTTCCCGTTCATCGCGTTTGGTTGTTCCTGGATAAATTTGACCATTTTCTGGCTGTTGGTTTCCATGTATGGGTACACCCATTTCATCTACAACCAGCTGGTATGGGAACGAGAAAATCTATTTGGGTCTTACTTTTCCGCTGGTGAATCCGGGGGTCAGGTGTGCCCTTACAATCTTCCATTCTTCTCCTTTCAGACTAAAAGGGTTCCGTCCGAAGATCGGGTCGGCGTTCTTATCAACACTGATGTCGTTATCGTGGAAGTGACTGAACGATTTGATTGTGACTTCTTTAATGAGGTCGGGGTCACGGATTAGGAGAACAGGTGTGAAGGATTGAAAAATCCCAACGACACTGTGTTGTTCGTATTCCCTAAGACAAACTAAGTTCGATTTTGTCGTCATTTTGATCATACTACCTATAAATGTCGGCGTAGATTTCTCCAGGTTGGGCTTTCAGGAGGAACGTTTTTCCTATATTGCCCACCAAGAATTTGGGCTTGGGACCAACCACCCCCCTTTTTTTCCAATACTGGTGGTTCAGTTTCACCAGGTAGTAAACAACCGTAACCAAAACAACAACAAAAATCGCTGTTATCATCGTGCTAGACAAATTAGGACTGAATTATCTAACTCGGACCAAAGTTCAACGAACACAATTCTCTTGCTTGAATTGGATATTATTCGACACCGTTTTTAAATTTAACCCGGACGGGCTCCCCCCAAAAATAATTTATATCCGAACACAAACGACCCATTAGCACTCTATTACTTTGACCTCGGCGTCCTCGACCCTCATAGCGCTCATTTAAAACCCGTGCTCCACAATGATAACAATAACTTTCGTCATCTTCTTAATCGCCGTCATTTACTACCTGGTGCATCTAAATCATCAGCACTGGAAGAAACGAGGGATAAATGGCCCCAAACCGGTTTTTCTGGCCGGGAATATGGGAAGGTCGCTACTTTTGCAACTCCAACCGGGCGAAATCTTCACCGACATTTACAGGTAGAAAAATTTTCACAAAACTCGTCACCGATTATGTTGTCTTCCAGAAAATACAACAACGAAACCATCGTTGGTGCTTTTAAGTCCTTCACTCCTTTCTTAATAATCCGCGATCCCGACCTCATCAAAGAAATCACCATAAAATCGTTCAGCCACTTTCGGGACAACGACGTCGAGGTTGATAAAAAAGTGGACCCTATTTTTGGACGCAACCCTTTCGTTTTGAAGGGTGAAGAGTGGAAGGTGGTTAGGGCCCAATTAACACCAGCATTTACGAGCGGGAAGGTAATTAACCCAAACTAGATCCTCACTTTTAACATACACACAAACAAAACAATAGATGAAGTGGTTGTACCCATCCTGGGAAAACAACAGCTCCAAAATGGTACAATTCCTGGAACAACGCCCCGACGCCACCAACGGAAACGGCTACGAAGCCAAAGAGCTCTGCACCCGTTTCACTTTGAACAACGTCGGCGATTCGGTCTTCGGAATCGACGCAAAATGTTTTGACGAAGACAACAGCGAATTCCGACAATTGGCGAAAGATTTCTTCACGCCGGGCAGCTGGACCATCATTACCATCCTCATAGCAAATATTTTTCCTTTCGTTATGAAGATCTTGCCGATCAGGTGAGTCCCGAGGGTCACCAACCCATCGAAACTTCAATTTTTAGGTTTTGCCCCAAATCCGTCGAGAAAAAACTCACCCAAATAGTGTCCCAGACTTTGCAGTACCGCGAAGACAACAATATTGTCAGAAACGACTTTCTTCAAATCATACGTGAACTGAAGAAAACTAGTAAAGATTACGAGTTTACGGACTTGGATGTGACGGCTCACGCCGCTGGGTTTTTCGGTGATGGGTACGAAACGAGTTCTCAGGTGATGAGTTTTGTGCTTTACCATCTAGCTGCGAACGAAGACGTCCAAATGAAGCTTCGTAACGAAATTAATAAAGCGTTTGATGGAAGAGAACGACTACCGTACGAGGTACTGCAAACTTTAACGTACATGGATGGGGTTTTCAATGGTACGACTTTAGTACCAACAAACTTAATCTAGCACTGTCATTGTAGAAACCTTAAGGCTAACCCCGCCAGTTTTCTTCCTCCAGAAAATGTGTACCGAAGACTTTTCCTACGTTTCCAAAGATAACAAGTCGGTACTCATCGAAAAGGGTACACCCATCGTGTTACCCATTTATGGGCTTCAAACCGACCCGCAGTACTTCGAGGATCCGGAAAGTTTCAAACCCGAGAGATTCTTGGCGGAAAATAAGGAACGTGTTAAGAAGTGTACTTTCATGCCATTTGGAGAGGGACCAAGAGCTTGCCTAGGTACCACTATTAATACGTAAAAAACGCAGTTGTGAGTGTCGTTTTAGGGCAAAGATTTGGTGCCTTGCAAGTAAAAGTCGGTGTGAGCTATCTCATCAAGAATTTCGAGCTCCGTCTCAACAAGAAGACACAAGTACCCTTGAAGTTTGACCCTGCCAATGTTTTGGTCGCCCCGATCGGCGGACTGTGGATTGATTTTAAGAAGATCGCTTGATTTGTTTATAAATTTTGTCACTCGAATGCGTAAATAAAAAGATACTATTTACGAGCACGATGCGTACTTAATCCCCGATAACACCATCAAAACACGTCAACACTAATTTGTAACTAATTATATAACGGATCAAAATAAACATCCGATTAGTAGTTGGCAAAATGTTCGCACTAGCACTCCTAATTTTAATAACAACAATCGCGTACTACTTCCTCAAAGTGAACAACCAGTACTGGGAGAAAAAAGGAGTGAAGGGTCCAAAACCCACGATTTTCGTGGGAAATGTAGCCAAAAGCGTGACTTTGCAGGAACAAGTGGGTACCATCTACACCAGAATTTACAAGTAAGTATCGTCCACACAACTTCGTTCCTAACACAGTTTCTTCAGTCAGTACCGCGACGAAGAATGCGTGGGACTATACAGGGGTACCACCCCGGTACTACTCCTCCGAGACCCCGACCTGATCAAAGAAGTGGTGGCCAAATCTTTCAATTACTTCCACGACAACGACTTCCACGTCAATAAAGATAACGACCCGATTATCGGACGAAATCCCTTCATGCTAAAAGGCGAAGAATGGAAGATTGTGAGAGCCCAGTTGACTCCAGGTTTCACGAGCGGAAAGGTACTACTACCACAGTTACGACTAGTACTTAGCGAAATTTTCAGATGAAGTGGATGTACCCTCTCCTAGAAGACATCAGTACTAACCTGGTGAAATTCATCCAAAACCACCCCGAAACCACCAACGGCGAAGGCTACGAAGCCAAGGAGTTGAGTGTGAAATTCACTTTGAACAACGTCGCTAGTTGTGCCTTCGGAATCGAAGGCAAATGCTTCGAAGAGGAAGAAAGCGAGTTTAGAAAAATCTCGCGCGAGTTTTTCTCACCAGATGGCTGGACCAACTTTGGTTTCTTCCTCATGACTTTACTCCCCTCGATTTCCAAAGTACTGCCTCTGCGGTGAGTACTCAAAGTGTGTGATTTAAAGTACTAATTCGCGCAGACTTGTGACCAAGAAAGTCGAACACAAACTCTTGAAAATGGTCACCGAAACGTTGAAGTACCGTGAAGAGAATAGCATCATCCGCAACGATTTCCTCCACGTGATGATCCAGTCGAAGAAGACTTGTAAAGAATACGAGTTTACGGATTTGGATGTGACGGCTCAAGCCGCTGGGTTCTTCGGGGACGGTTCTGAAACCAGTTCTGTGGTGATGAGTTTCACCTTGTACGAACTCGCGGCGAATTTAGATGTTCAGAACAAACTCCGGGAGGAAATTAATGCCGCTTTTGATAACAACAGTCGAACTTTAAGTTATGAAGTTCTTCAAGGTTTGGAGTACCTGGATGCCGCTATCAACGGTAACTACTACTAGCACCGTCTGGGTACCACAACGTTTAATTTAATTTGTAGAGGCCTTGCGTCTGCACCCACCGATATCCTCATTGCAAAAGGTCTGCACTCAAGACTTCAAGTACGTACCGAAGAACGGCAACAAAACCTTCACCATAGAGAAAGGTACTCCGATTATTCTACCAGTTTTGGGGATGCAGCGCGACCCAAAGTACTACGAGGACCCTGATTCCTTCAAACCAGAAAGGTTCCTCGAGGTCAATAGGAACAATTTAAACAAGTATACGTTTTTGGCGTTCGGAGAAGGACCAAGAGCTTGTTTAGGTACTCAGTGGTACTTAAAAAAACCCTTTTGATTTGACGGTTTTAGGTAAACGATTCGGAGTCCTACAGGTCAAGGTCGGCGTTGCACACATAATCCGCAATTTCGAGTTATCAGTGAACCAGAAGACCCAGCGTCCCATTAGATACATGAACGCGGCCCTCACTCTAGCCGAAGGAGGGTTGTGGTTGGATTTCAAGAAAATTGACCCTTGATTGTTGTATCTATATTTACAATGCACTTAAATAAATGTATGCTCATCACCCTGTCTATCTGTTCACCAATTTAATTCAAATTATGTAGTTGAACGTTAGTACATTAGTACGACCTTGGTCCTCATTCGTCGCTTCTTCGTCGAGAGTACCAAACGACAATGTTGTTCGTAATTTTGATAATTTTAACGACCATTACGTACTATTTGATCAAACTTAATTATCAATATTGGGAGAAGAGGAAGGTACCGGGACCTAAACCCTCTTTTCTGGTTGGTAATTTAGGGAAAGTCTTCACTCTGAGGATGTCCGCTGGAGACACTTACACGAAAATCTACAAGTAAGTTTTTGCTTTGGTTTGAATGTTTCTATAGTGGTGTCAATAGTGACTACCCCGATGAAGAAATGGTCGGGATATATAGAGGTACCAGTCCGGTTTTGTTGCTACGGGACCCAGAACTCATCAAAGAAGTCACCACGAAATCTTTTAGTAGCTTCCACGACAACGACGTCGACATATTGAAGGAAAACGACCCTATTTTTGGAAGAAATCCTTTTGCGTTGAAGGGTGAAGAGTGGAAAGTGGTACGAGGTCAGCTAACACCCGGGTTTACGAGCGGCAAGGTAGTACTCCTCTTTACTGGGTTATATTTAACACCCATTTCTAGATGAAGTGGCTTTTTCCATTGATGGAGGAAGTCTGTACAGAGTTGGTAAAATTCATCGACCAACACCCGGACACCACCAACGGTAAAGGCTTCGAAGCCAAAGAACTAAGCATGAGGTACACCCTCAACAACGTCGCTAGTTGTGCCTTCGGCCTCCAAGGCAAGTGTTTCGAGAAAGAAAATAGTACCTTCAGACAACTCGCACGCGAATTTTTCTCCACGGATAGTTGGAGCGTGCTCTGGTTCTTCATAATGATGGTTTATCCACCTATTTCGAGGATACTGTCTATGAGGTAAGTACCGCACTTCGGGTACTACACTCCTTGATAGATTCGTTTCAAAACCCCTGGAGGAAAAACTCATGAGATTAGTATGCGACACTTTGAAGTACCGTGAACAGAATAATATAGTCCGGAACGACTTTCTCCACATTATGGCTCAACTGAAGAAGACTTGCAAAGAGTACGACTTTACCAATGAAGATGTGACGGCTCATGCCGCTGGGTTTTTCGGGGACGGCTATGAAACTAGTAGTATCGTAATGAGTTTTACTCTTTTTGAGTTGGCGGCGAACCCCGAGTGTCAGAGTAGGTTACGAGAAGAGCTGGAGGCGAGTTTCGAAAATGACAAGATTTCGTACGAAGCGTTGACGTCTTTGGCGTACCTGGAGGCTGCGATTTGTGGTAAGTTTTTGGTGATTTTGAATGGTGAAATGTATTTGGGTTTCAGAGGGGTTGAGGTTACATCCAGCGCTCTTCTTCTTGCAAAAGAGGTGTACCAAGGACTTTAGTTACAAACATTTGGTGATAGAGAAAGGTACTGCGGTTATTTTGCCGGTGTATGGGTTGCATACCGATGGAAAGTACTACGAAAAACCGGCCGTTTTTAAACCGGAAAGGTTTCTGCCTGGTAGTAGGGAGAATCTGACGAAGTACACGTTTTTGCCGTTCGGGGAAGGACCAAGGGCTTGCTTGGGTACTACTTCGGTACTTTGGAAACAAAAAGTAACGATGTATGTTTCTGGTTTTAGGACAGAAGTTTGGGATGCTACAGGTTAAGGCAGGAATTGCCTACATTATACGGAATTACGAGATTTCGGTCAATGGGAAGACGCAGTTGCCTTTGAAATATTCAATAACCAATGCCATGACAGCTCCGGTTGGGGGATTGTGGCTTGACTTTAAAAAAATCAAGTAGAAGTGTTGCATATTTTTTACAAGATTAGTGGTTTGAATGTGACACTCAAATACAAAACTAAGTTAACAAAATTACAAGATTCCAGCTATAATTTTATGTAAACATAGAGGAACATTATACCTTGAAACGATGTCTTCTTTTATTTTTAGATTTATTAATAGAATTAAACTTGTCAACAATCGAAAAAAAAAAATTACGCAATCATTTCTCTCCAAAAATAAATCATTTTTCACAAACTACGGCTCTAGATAAATGTATACATGACGTGAATACAAGCCAAATAAAATTTCTGCTACTTCACAGCGGGATAAACATGATGAATAGGCAACCGCTTCAAACTGCTCACTCATGCTTGTTTTGAATATTAAACGATTATTATTATCATCTCAAATAAATGGGCACCAATTTGACCTTATTTGTTAGTTAACTTTCGGGTCGTCGAGACCCAACTACTGTATTTAATCACTTAATAAAATTATATATGGATACAATTATCGCACAATGAAATTCAAACTACATACATCAAAATTAAAACCCAAGTTCAAATTAAAATGTCACTTTTGGACCCAGCTCGATTTCCTAAAATCACGAACTCGGTTGTGATGGAATTTTTATTTGTTTGTGATAAAACAAACCCACACGGATGCAAGTCGATACTTTCGTTTGATTTTACGTACACTCGTCGACGCAAACTTCGTCCTCTTTTACACAATTGTTGTAAAAACAGGATGCAAGATACGACTTTTTTCGTCGAGTTTAACAAACAGTGTCGTAACCGATGAGGTCAGGTCTTCGCTGATACCTAACTTTTTGGGTGGTACTTTTCCGAACGTTCAAAATATTTTTCTTTCCCAATATTATTTATAAAGATATTTTTCTGGTAGATTTAGTTGTTTTCGAACAATTATCCAAAAATGTTCGTGCTTCTCGTGGTTTTGGCGGTCGTCGCCGTTTACTACTTTCTCAAGCTGAATTATCGATATTGGGAGAAAAGAGGAGTCGTGGGGCCTAAACCTAACTTCCTTGTGGGTAATTTGGGGAAAAGCTTCATCCTGAAAGCTTCACCTGGAGAAATTTTTGCCGACGTCTATAAGTAAAATTTTTCATACTTAGTTTGTTTTTATTTATTTATCAATTTTTATTTAGCCAATATGGTGACGCCGAAATGGTGGGGATGTTCCGCGCCACCACCCCCATCCTCCTCGTGCGCGACCCCGCCCTCGTCCGAGAAGTAACAGTGAAATCTTTCAACAGCTTCCGGGAAAACGACTACGAAGTCAGCAAAAAGCACGACCCGATTTTTGGAAGAAACCCCTTCGTGCTAAAAGGGGAAGAATGGAAAGTGGTTAGGTCACAACTAACCCCTGGCTTCACAAGCGGAAAAGTAACCACAACCACCTTCTTTACCACTTTAGTACCACTAAAAAATTCCAGATGAAATGGTTGTACCCATACCTAGTAGAAAATAGCAAAAATTTGGCAACATTTATCCAAAATTGCACCGAAAACACCGATGCCAAAGACATCTGTAGACGATTCACTTTGAACAACGTCGCCAGCTGCGCCTTCGGTCTCGAAGGCAAATGCCTCGAAGAAGAAAACAGCGAGTTTCGACAACTCGCCAAAGACTTTTTCTCTCCAGCTACCGGTTTCTTTCTCATGACTGTATCACCACCTTTATCGAAATTGTTATCAGTCAGGTAAAAACGAAGACATTCTCGTTCGTGTCGTCAAACACGTTTCGTCCACAGCTTCATCAAGAAAGAAATGGAGAAAAAATTCATCCAGATCGTCCGACAAGTGTTACAGTACAGAGAAGAGAACAACGTAGTCAGAAACGATTATCTACACGTCGTGAGTCAACTGAAGCAAACTGAAGATTTTAAATTCACTGATGAAGATGTGACGGCTCATGCAGCCGGTTTCTTCGGCGAAGGCTACGAAACGAGCTCGATTTTGATGAGTTTTGTTTTGTTCGAGCTCGCGGCTAACTTAGACGTGCAAGAAAAATTGAGAGAGGAAGTGAGAAGAGTATATGAAGAGAACGGTAACGAGTTGCCGTACGAAACACTGCAGGCTTTGCCGTATTTGGATGGTGTGATTAACGGTAAGTTGGAATTTTCGTGCTTACTCGATGTTCCAGATTTTGGTTGTAGAAACCCTTCGTATTCATCCGCCGATGTTTTCGCTTCAGAAAATCTGTACCGAGGATTTTAATTACGGTTTAAGGAATGGCAAACAGGTCACTATTGAGAAAGGTACTCCGATTATTCTACCGGTGTATGGACTCCATCACGACCCTAAGTACTATGAGGATCCGAAAGTGTTCAAACCTGAGCGGTTCGTTGGAGAAAATAAAGAGAAACTGACGAAGTATACGTTTATTCCTTTCGGAGAAGGACCGAGGATATGTTTAGGTGAGGATTATCCAGTGGCTTTTAAAAGAATTCCTTTAAAAAAAATCTCCACAATTCTTTTAAATTGGTGTTCCCGAGATTTTTTCAAATTATTTCAAGAATTAGGCACAAAAACAAAACGAAAGGGGTCCGCGAGATTCTTTCAAATTACTTCAAAAACAAACAAAAGATGTTCCCCAGATTCTTTCAAACTACTTCAAAAACAAAACGAAATGGGTCCCCGAGATTCTTACAAACTGCTTCAAAAATAAATCAAAAGGAGTCCCCAAGATTCTTTCAAACTACTTCAAAAACAAGATAAGGGATCCCCACGATTCTTTCAAACTACTTCAAAAACAAGGCCAGGAATCCCCAAAATTCTTTCAAACTACTTAAAAAAAAAACAATCAGAGTCTCTGAGATTCTTTCAACAAATTCCAAAATAAAACAAAAGGAGTCCCCGGGATGCTTTCAAACGACTTCAAAAACAAAACCAAAAGTGTTTCCGAGATTCTTTCAAACTACTTAAAAAAAACAATCGGAGTCTCTGAGATTCTTTCAACAAATTCCAAAACAAAACAAAACAAGTCCCCGAGATTCTTTCAAACTACTTCAAAAACAAACAAAAGGTACTCCCGAGACTCTTTCAAACTACTTCAAAAACAAAACAAAAGGAGTCTCCGAGATTCTTTCAAACGACTTCAAAAACAAAACAAAAAGTGTTCCCGAGATTCTTTCAAACTACTTAAAAAAAAAGGTATTCCCGAGATTATTTCAAATTACTTCAAGAATCAGACACAAGGGGTTCCCGAGATTCTTAAAATTACTTCAAAAACAAAACAAAAGGGATCTCCGACATTTTTTCAAACTACTTCAAAAATAAAACACAAAATTTCCCCAAGATGCTTTCAAACTACTTCAAAAACCAAGGGATCCCCAAGATTCTTTCACACGACTTCAAAGATAAATCAATGGTGTTCCTGAGATTCTTTCAGACTACTTAAAAAATCAGACGCAAAGGATCGCTGACATTCTTTCAAACTACTTCAAAATAAAAACGAAAGGGATATCCGAAATTCTTTCAAACTACTACAAAAACCAGATTCTTTTAAATTGCATCAAAAACAAAACACAATATTTCCCCATGATTCTTTGAAACTACTTCAAAAACCAAGCATAAGGGATCTCCGAAATTCTTTCTAAACTACTTCAAACATAAAACACTAGGGATCCCCAAGATTTTTTCAAAAGACTTCAAAAATAAATCAAAGGTGTTCCTAAGATTCTTTCAATCTACTCAAAAAACCAGACGAAAGGGGTCCTTGAAGTTTCTTCAAATTACTTCAAAAATAAAACACAAAATTTCCCCAAGATTCTTTCAAACTACTTCAAAAACCAAGCATAAGGGGTGTCCGAATTCCTTTTTAAACTAGATCAAACATAAAACACTAGGGATCCCCAAGATTCTTTCACACGACTCCAAAAATAAATTAAAGGTGTTCCTTAGATTCTTTCAAACTACTCCAAAAACCATACGCAAGGGGTCACCGAAATTCTTTCAAATTACTTTAAAAACATGTCAAGGGATCCCAAGATTCTTCCAAACTACTTAAAAAAAAAAACAAAGGACTCTTTCAGACTACTTCAAATATCAGACGCAAGGTATCCCGACATTTTTTCAAACCACTTCAAAAATAAAACGAAAGGGATCTCCGAAATTCTTTCAAATTACTTCAAAAACCAGATTCTTTTAAATTACTTCAAAAATAAAACAAAATGTCCCCATGATTCTTTCAAATTACTTCAAAAACCAGGCATAAGGGATCTCCGAAATTCTTTCCAACTACTTCAAAAACCAGATTCTTTTAAATTACTTCAAAAATAAAACAAAATTTCCCCATGATTCTTTCAAATTACTTCAAAAACCAGGCATAAGGGATCTTCGAAATTCTTTCTAAACCACTTCAAACATAAAACACTAGAGATCCCCAAGATTCTTTCAAACTACTTCAAAAACCAGGTTCTTTTAAATTACTTCAAACATAAAACAAAATGTCCCCGTGATTCTTTCAAATTACTTCAAAAACTAGGCATAAGGGATCTCCGAAATTCTTTCAAATTACTTCAAAAACCAGATTCTTTTAAATTACTTCAAAAATAAAACAAAATGTCCCCATGATTCTTTCAAATTACTTCAAAAACCAGGCATAAGGGATCTCCGAAATTCTTTCCAACTACTTCAAAAACCAGATTCTTTTAAATTACTTCAAAAATAAAACAAAATTTCCCCATGATTCTTTCAAATTACTTCAAAAACCAGGCATAAGGGATCTTCGAAATTCTTTCTAAACCACTTCAAACATAAAACACTAGAGATCCCCAAGATTCTTTCAAACTACTTCAAAAACCAGATTCTTTTAAATTACTTCAAACATAAAACAAAATTTCCCCATGATTCTTTCAAATTACTACAAAAACCAGGCATAAGGGATCTCCGAAATTCTTTCTAAACCACTTCAAACATAAAACACTAGAGATACCCAAGATTCTTTCAAACTACTTAAAAAACAAAACAAAGGACTCTTTCAGACTACTTCAAGTATCAGACGCAAGGGATCCCGACATTTTTTCAAACCACTTCAAAAACAAAACGAAAGGGATCTCCGAAATTCTTTCAAATTACTTCAAAAACCAGATTCTTTTAAATACTTCAAAAATAAAACAAAATGTCCCCATGATTCTTTCAAGTTACTTCAAAAACCAGGCATAAGGGATCTCCGAAATTCTTTCAAAGTACTTCAAAAACCAGATTCTTTTAAATTACTTCAAAAATAAAACAAAATTTCCCCATGATTCTTTCAAATTACTTCAAAAACCAGGCATAAGGGATCTCGGAAATTCTTTCAAACTACTTCAAAAACCAGATTCTTTTAAATAACTTCAAAAATAAAACAAAATGTCCATATGATTCTTTCAAATTACTTCAAAAACCAGGCATAAGGGATCTCCGAAATTCTTTCAAACTACTTCAAAAACCAGATTCTTTTAAATTACTTCAAAAATAAAACAAAATTTCCCCATGATTCTTTCAAATTACTTCAAAAACCAGGCATAAGGGATCTCCGAAATTCTTTCTAAACCACTTCAAACATAAAACACTAGGGATACCCAAGATTCTTTCAAACTACTTAAAAAACAAAACAAAGGACTCTTTCAGAGTATTTCAAATATCAGACGCAAGGGATCCCCGACATGTTTTCAAACCACTTCAAAATCAAAACGAAAGGGATCTCTGAAATTCTTTCAAACTACTTCAAAAACCAGATTCTTTTAAATTACTTCAAAAATAAAACAAAATGTCCCCGTGATTCTTTCAAATTACTTCAAAAACTAGGCATAAGGGATCTCCGAAATTCTTTCAAACTACTTCAAAAACCAGATTCTTTTAAATTACTTCAAAAATAAAACAAAATGTCCCCGTGATTCTTTCAAATTACTTCAAAAACCAGGCATAAGGGATCTCCGAAATTCTTTCTAAACCACTTCAAACATAAAACACTAGAGATACAAAAGATTCTTTCAAACAACTTAAAAAACAAAACAAAGGACTCTTTCAGACTACTTCAAATATCAGACGCAAGGGATCCCCGACATGTTTTCAAACCACTTCAAAATCAAAACGAAAGGGATCTCCGAAATTCTTTCAAACTACTTCAAAAACCAGAGTCTTTTAAATTACTTCAAAAATAAAACAAAATATCCCCGTGATTCTTTCAAATTACTTCAAAAACTAGGCATAAGGGATCTCCGAAATTCTTTCAAACTACTTCAAAAACCAGATTCTTTCAAATTACTTCAAAAACTAGGCATAAGGGATCTCCGAAATTCTTTCCAACTACTTCAAAAACCAGATTCTTTTAAATTACTTCAAAAATAAAACAAAATTTCCCCATGATTCTTTCAAATTACTTCAAAAACCAAGCATAAGGGATCTCCGAAATTCTTTCTAAACCACTTCTAACATAAAACACTAGGGATACCCAAGATTCTTTCAAACTACTTAAAAAACAAAACAAAGGACTCTTTCAGAGTATTTCAAATATCAGACGCAAGGGATCCTCGACATGTTTTCAAACCACTTCAAAATCAAAATGAAAGGGATCTCCGAAATTCTTTCAAACTACTTCAAAAACCAGATTCTTTTAAATTACTTCAAAAATAAAACACAAAAGTCCCCATGATTCTTTCAAATTACTTCAAAAAGCAAGCATAAGAGATCTCCGAAATTCTTTCTAAACCACTTCAAACATAAAACACTAGGGATCCCCAAGATTATTTCAAACTATTTCAAAAAGGAGACGCAAGAAGTCCCCTAAATTATTTCAAATTACTTCAAAATCAAGACAAGGAGTCTCCAAGATTCTTTTAAACTACTTCAATAAAAAAATGAAAGGGGTTTCCGAGAAATATCCCGTAAGATAATTGCATTTTCGGAACAGATAGACTTTTTTTCGGACCAATTGCGAACTGATTTAGCAAGTTTAATATTTTTAGAAAAAATATTGGAGGTGTCTCGTTTGATAAGCCATTTTCTCCACTATTTGAGGACCCACGACGAAAGTAAGCATAAAATCGTGATTCTGAGAAACTTTCCCATAAGATACATGCATTTTCACAACAGATAGACTTGTTTTCGGTTCAATTTCGGACTGATTTAGCAAGTTTTACATTTTTACAAAAAATAGTGGAGACCTCTGGTTAAATGACCAGTTTTCTCCACTATTTGAGGGCGAAAAAAAGCACAAATTCTTTCAAACTACTTCAAAAATAAATCGAAGGTGTTCCTGAGATTCTTTCAAAAAGTACTCCAAAAACGAAACGCAAGAGCTCCCCGAGAAGCTTTCAAACTACTTCAAAAACGAGACAAAAGGTGTTCAAGAGATTCTTTCAAATTACTTCAAGAATCAGGTACAACGGGTCCCGGAGATTCTTTCAAACTACTTCAAAAACAAGAGACGGCATCCCCAAGACTCTTTCAAACTACTTTAAAAACAGAACTCTTTCAAAGTGCTTAAAAAAAAGCAAAAATGTCGCTAAGATTTTTTCAAACCACTTTAAAAACAAAAGGGGTCCCAGAAAATGAAGTAAAATTAGGCCTTTTTTGGTCCACATTTGACCCATTTTTTTTAATACTATGAAAAACTCATTTTAAACATACGCATGGTATGCTTTTTACCCGCAGTTTAGTAACAATCCACACATATTTATTTAAAAATAAAGTAAAATTCGCAAAATCTAATTTGCTTATTTCTCAAGGAAATTGAATTTTTTTGTGAAGTTTTGTGTATATTATGTATTTTAATGCAATTTTTTTTCGTGTGTTTAGGTAAACGATTCGGCGTCCTCCAAATCAAAGTTGGAATAGCATACGTCATCCTCAACTACTGTCTGTCTGTCGGGAAGAAAACGCAGCTGCCCATCAGATACGATCCAATTAATATAATGACTGTACCCGTGGGGGGTTTATGGATTAACTTCTCTAGATTATAAAATACTTTTCTTGTTATGTTGTTTTCGTCGTAACCGTAAGTGCCTGCCGCATAATAGGCAATAAATTTGTCTCTTTTCGATATTGTCTCCAGAGCTCTTCACCTGAACTTCCAATAAAATTTACGACGTTCGCGAACTCTCTAAATAATCAACAAGTATTTATCTAAACGAAATAAAATAAAAAAGAACCAACACACAAAAAAACAACACAAAGGCGCAACTCGAACGTCTGCCGTAATGTGATTGAGAAAACGATACCTACTTATCAGTAAATTGCATTGATTGGATTAAAGAGCGTTTTATCGCCCTCCTGCGTCGATCCGCTTTCGGCAATTACTCCACGAAGACGGCGCAAACATTAAAAATCGAAGACTCACCGATAAAGAACCAGGTGTACGACTTCCCGTACAGCTTCTGCTTGTACATCTCGCACAGCACCCTCCTCGCCGCCACCACGTAGAACAGCCCCACGATGACCCTCGCGTCCTGCCGCCGCAGGTTCCTCACCGCGTCGGTGGGGTCGCTCAGGAACGACTGCCTCGTCACGATCTCGATGTTGGCCTCCATGCAACGAGTCTCCAGATCCTCCACCGTCGAAATGAAGACTTCCTCCGCCTGCTGCAGGATGGCCACCCTCGACCAGCCGAACTTCTTCATTAGCTTGATGCGCGTCGGGTTGTGAACGGTGGCCGACGGATGGGTGCGGAAAAGCGTGGGAAAGCGGTTTCGGTCGGAGAGGGCCGGCGAACTCGCCCCGTAGCACAGCTGGAAGAGATCATTCATTGTATCCTACCGACTGCGCCAGTTTTATGTGACAATGTCGAAGCGAGGAAAAAGCGGATAAGCACGGGGAGGGTGGATGAGAGATCGGGCGCAATTAGGCTGAGAAATTATAGAGTGGGGTTATCTTTAACTTGTGCCGTGTTGGTTGGTCGATAGCGGCTTTGACGATTTCCTAGTTCCGCACTGTCGCGGATGTTTTATCGGAGATTAATAGCTGAATGGTTACAATCTGGAGGGCTTTCAGCGCGATGAATCATTAAGACGTCCTGAATAATTAGTGTACAAACAGGTAATTGATGATCATTATAGCGATGCGGCGAAAACCGTTAGAGGTTAGTGGGTTAGGAGTCGCAAATCGACCTCTTTGAAGTCAGAACGTTTTAGTTTAAAAGATCAAATCAATGGAATGCGTTGATTATGCAACCAATTATACACTTAACGAAAATAAAACTCGTTTGTATTCTAATTAGTTTACATGGTTTTCTGGGTTTATATCGACTTACAATGCTAAATTTGCTTATTATCGTGGTGCAATTCGTTTTTCGGCACTAAAATCGTCTTCTTAAAAAAGGCAGTTAGAGACCCCAGAGGTTTCATCTTAAAAAAAAGACAGTTGCCCCCCCCCCCAAAGTTTTCATCTTCTAAAAAAAGAAAGTTGATGCCCCTCGAGAAGGTTTCATCTTCTAAAAAAGACAGTTGGGTTCCCTCTTTAATTAAAAAAAGACATTTGGGGGTCTCCGAGAATATTTCATCTTCTTAAAAAAAAGACACTAAGGGTTCCCGAGAAGGTTTCGTCTTCTTATGAAAAAAGACAGTTGGAGGTCTCCCGAGAAGGTTTCACATTCTTTACTAAAAAAGATAGTTGGGACCATCGAGAAGGTTTCATATTCTTTAATAAAAATGACAGTTGGCACCCTTGAGAAGGTTTCGTCTTCTTAAAGAACACAGTTGGGCTGCAGAGAAAGTTTTATTTTGAAGAAAAGGCAGTTGGGGTCTCTCGAGGTTTCACATTCTTTACCAAAAAAAAGAGTTTGGGCCCCCGGGAGGGTTTCGTTTTCTTAAAAAAACACAGTTGGACCCCCGAGAACGTTACCTCATTAAAAAAAAGACAATTGGGCCTCTCGAGAAGGTTTCATTTTCTTAAAAAAAGAGACTTTGGGCGACCGGGAAGTTTCATCATCTTATAAATAAGTCAGTTGGGGTCTCCGTGAAGGTTTCATATTCTTTAATAAAAAAATTGGTCTAAAGAGTTTAGACAGTACTTCCCTCGCTGTCGGAAACTTGACGACTGCATGCCTATTGTGTTTTTTTTTCTCATTACATTTTTGTAGTGGGAATTAAAAAAAAAATTGCGATGACGTCATCAACATTTTTGCAAGGGCACGTATATCAGTTTGGATAGATGTAGTGTAATACTAAGAATAAAATTATTGTATTCCCAAATTTTCGGGAAAATGAATTGGGTCGTTTTGAATATTGATTTGTTATAATCAATAAAATAACGAAACAATTTGCTCACGTATACGGCGCCGGTGTGTAATATGTAGAGAGCGGATTTCTGTCGGGCTAGGCAAGGCCAAACTCGGTACGGCTCGTACGGGATGCGAATTCATTGCGGTTACGGACTGCACTTCGTTTATTTGAGATTAGAATAACGCTGTTTCGTTGCACTCTGCTGTTAATTCCCGTTCTCATTTACTTAGCCGTTTGATTAATAAATCGTTAATTATATTTATGGAATTAGTACCGATTAAATTCAGTGATTATCTATCACCCACTACTGAGTCCCGGCGATCCAGCGCGTCCCCACCTATAATCATGACGTAGCCCGACAGAAATCCGCTGTCTAGTAATATGAGAGGCAACTGAAAATCGTTTATGTATAAACATTCTTAATTTAAGATGACAAGCGTAACAACATACGTGAGAGTCAAACAGAGAAACTGTAAACAAAACGACCATCGGTTTTATCGTTTCGGCTTCCGCTTATTATATAAAACATTGGGTTTTATTTTAATTCTTGACGGTGAAATTCACAATTGGTTGATTATAAACATGTCTATTCCACATTCGCGGAACGAAGTGAGCGCATAAAACAAATGCAGGTCTGTAATGTTAAAGTCGATGTAAATAAGCGTGCTACCCTTATGTTTCAACCGAGTTTTTCCTTTAACAAATTTTGTGTCTACCAAATTGGGTTGGTTGGGGTGTAATACTAATAATAAGTGTTGCCTTTAATTTAATCAATAAAATAAATTGACTTCATTAATTTTTTTGAACCACCTCTTAAGAAAATCTAAAAAATATGAATGGAATGATAAATCACAAGTACAAACCCATCATATTTTTTGCATTTTAGATGGGATTTATTCAGCAAAATTTAAGGGTGACGTCATCAATTTTTTTAGGAGGGATGAACAAATACATTTTGAACAAAAGCTTACCATGCCTATAATAACTTTAAAATATCTCCAAGATTTCAAAGCATTCGGTTTTGTAATTCCTGCTTAAATCGATAAAATAAATTCACGCATTCATTAATTTTTTTGAGTCACCCTGCATATGCAAATCCAAAAATATGAATGGAATGATAAATCACAAGTACAGACACATCATATTTTGTACATTTTAGATTCGATTTATTCGGCAAACTTTTGAGCTGACGTCATCAGTTTTTTGTAGAAGATAACCAAATATATTTTGACTAAAAATTTATTATGCTCTTTATAACCTTAAAACATCTGCAAGATTTCAAAGCATTCGGTTTTGTAGTTTCTGAGTAAATCAGTAAAATAAATTTACGCATTCATTAATTTTTTTGAGTCACCCTGTATATGCAAATCCAAAAAATATGAATGCAGTGATAGATCACAAGTACAGACTCATCATATTTTGTACATTTTAGATATGATTTATTCCACAAACTTTTGAGCTGACGTCATCAAGTTTTTGGAGGGGATAAGCAAATATTTTTTGACTAAAGATTTATGATGCTCTTTATAGCCTTAAAACATCTGCAACATTTCAAAGCATTCTGGTTAGCAGATTAAAAATTAAATTTCAAAATGTTGTTTTATAATTTTGATTTTTTTTCCAAAAATCTGGACGTTTCGGGTGAAAAGTCAATTGGGAGTTGTAAACTACATGTGTAGGACTATGTTATTTTATACAATTTAAAACCTATTTACTATGTACAATTTTGAAGTGACGTCATCGCATTAGTGGTGGGGATGATTAGACAAATTTTGGTTAGCGTTTTACCATCTACATGATATTCTTAATATAAGTACAAAATTTCACAACAATCGGTCAAGTACTTTCGGAGATTATCTTTCTAATAAAAATCCGGGACGGCAGACGGACAGACGGACAGACGGACAGACGGACAGACGGACAGACGGACGGACAGACGGACAGACAGACGGAAATGGGAGACCTATTTCTTCGTCTTCTAGGGGTCATGAAAGATCGAGAAAACGTAAAAGTAGAGAGTCGGCCGACGGACTCGATTACAATACTTCCTTTGCTTACGCTCGGGAAGTAAAAAGACAGTTGGGGTCACCGAGAAGGTTTCATCATCTTAAAAAGCAGACAGTTGGGGTCTCTGAGAAGGTTTAATATTCTTTCATAAAAAATTACAGTTGGGGCCCCCGAGAAAGTTTCATCTTCTTAAAAAAAAAGACAGTTGGGGTAGGGTGACTATATTTGCTTCAAACCATTTCCGGATGTAGTATTGATGGGGTTGAGGAAGAGGCGAGGGGGAGGGGATAAAAGTCGTCTTGTTTTACAATGAAATAAAATATTTGAAAGTACACATTTTTTTTTTTAAATATGTAGTTATTATATACGAGAATAAAATAAAAAATTCTAAACATCTAAATAACATCACTATATTAGATTATAGAATATTTTGTAGTCTTATGTACAATTTACAATATACAGAGTGCTATTTCTTATACTTTACCACACTGTAATTTTTTTTTGAGTAATTTTTCATTTTTCATTAAATAGGAATAAAACGTCTTTAAAATTAATCGGTGCGCCGGATTCTCAATGTATACTTTTTGATGTAAAATAAAAATACGAAATAATTTTGTACCTCAAATTCCGAACATGTCCGGAAAAAATCCGGACGGATGATCACCCTAAGTTGGGGTGACCGAGAAGGTTTCATCATCTTAAAAAAAAGTCAGTTGGGGACTCCAGAAGATTTCATATTCTTTAATAAAAAAAGACAATTCGGGGTCAAAAGACTTGCGACTCCCAAGAAGCTTTCACATCTATACATACTATATAGGGGAGAGTTGCGTAATTTGAACCGCGTCCTAATTTGGATTGGAATCATTTTAGCTAATTGGGCATAAAAGTGACATCTGTTGGTATGGAATGAAAGCTTTAGTTGTAAGTCAACTATTAAATTAGTAAAACGGAAGAATACTGTCTGCATTTTTGTAAAATGATGTTTTAATTTTTCAATTTTTAAAATTCCAGGTTTTTCGATTTCTCGAATTTCCAGTTCTTCTATATTTCAATTTTTCGATTTTCCGAATTTTTAAATTTTCGATTTTCCAATTTTTCTTTTTGCAATTTTTCCGATTTTTCAATTTCTCGATTTATTAATTCTTCAATTTTTAACTTTTCTTCTTGGCTTTCGACTCCTCGATTTCTCGATCCTCTGGGCTTTTCAATTTTTCGATTTTCCAATTTTTCAATTTTTTAAATTCTGGAGTTTCGATTTGCCGATTTACAGTTTTTCGATTTTCAAATTTTAGATTTCCGAATTTTTATTTTTGATGTTTAGATTTCTCGATTTTTCAATTTTGCGATATTTTAATTGTTCAATGTTTTAAATTTTAGAATTTTCGATTTCTCGATTTTTTGATTTTTCAGTTCTTCAGTATTTCTATTTTTCCATTTTTCAAATTTTGACGTTGTTAAATTTTCAGTTTTCCGATTTTTCAACTAATCTATTTTTGATTTTT